GAGGAGCAGTCTGTGGCAATTAGGAGGGACCCCCGCTTCACCATGCTGTGCCGCTACGCGACCGAGCACCTCAGGGGCTTCAGCTCGCTGCAACTCATCGGGGTCTTGATAGCGCTGACTCGCCTGGCTCTCCCACCCGCCCACCCATTCCTGCACCCGTGCGAGGCCGAGTTCTGTCGCCGTGTGTGGGACATGGGCTTCGAGGAGCTGCTGTTGGTGGCCGACCTGTGGCGTTACCTGGGCCGCAGTGTGCCACGATTCCTGGAGATGGTGGCCAGCTACGCCGGGGTGCGCTGGAAGGCCCTGAGCCTGCCCCAACTCGTTCAGTTCATCTACATCATTGGCGAGAACCGCCGCGCCCCGGCAGAGCTGATGCAGAAGTTGGAGATGCTGGTCTCACTGTATCTGGACCAGATGAACCTGGAGGAAGTGGGGGCTGTTTGCTTGGGCTTTTTCAAATCCAGCCACGGGCTATCAGAGAACCTCATGAAGAGAATTGGGGATATGGTGCTGGCCCACGTGGAGGATATCAGCAACTACGCTCTGGTCAATGTGATGAAGATGTTCCGCTACACCCACGTGGATCACTTGCCGTTCCTGAAGCGACTGGGGGAAGCCGTGTCGGATCGTGTCCCTGGGATGGGTACCCAGGGAGTCATGCACGTTGTGCTGTCCTGTGCCTCCCTGCACTACCGCGACGAGCTCCTTCTGAGCGCGGTGGCCGCAAGCATCCCCTCCAAGGCTCCGCACTGCCGCAGCAAGGATGTGGCCAAGTTCCTATGGTCCTTCTCGTCCCTGAACTACGAGCCCCGAACGTGGAGGAGTTTTACCGCTGCCTGACGGAGCAAGTGCACAGGAAGATGCAGGAGTTTGAGAGGTTCCCCGAGCACCTGCTGACGGCCCTACTGGCCCTGGCCTTTACAGGGCGCTACCCTCACGACCTGCTCGATGTGGCCCTCAGCCCACAGTTTGTACACCTCGCCCTCAGCAGCAGCGCGTTTGAACTGAAGCGGGATCTCTTCACTCTTGAGGGCTCTGTGGCCATCGAGTGTCCCCATTACACAGGCCATCGCCTCCCCCTTCCACTGCAAGAGGAGATCTCTGAGGCCCTGCGGGCCTTTGCCAGGCAGGAGATCTGCACAAAGCCGGAGATGACGGAGGCTGAGAGCTCGCTGCGGGTTCTGCTGGGAGGCCCTGAGTACGTCAAGAACCACACCATCCTACCTCATGCCAGGTCAGCTGAGCTGGAGGTGCACTTTGACCTCTCCGGCAAACCTCTGCCCTTCAACACTGAAGCACCCGGGAAAAACAAGCCCAAACGCAAGCTGAACTTCAGCGGGATTCAAGTCACTGATCTGCTCATTTCTCAGCTCACAAAACGCAACTGCCCTGGTGCTCAAGGCCCAGCTGAAACCTCAGCAGTGGCTCCCGAGGGCGATGTGGTCGGACCTGAAGCTGGATTTCAAGATCACAACCGCAGAGCGTCGTATGAAGCAGCGTTTAGAGATGGGATATCTCTGACCAATGGTCTCTTGGAATCATTGAATTTCTCGAAGGTTCCAGCGAAGGAAGCCCTTCACCAGCCCGATCAGCTCCCCGAGACCCCCCGGAAACTCGCCATTCAGGTGTCCAACCGCAACCACTATTGCCACTCCTCACGCATCCTCTTGGGCTTGCACAGCATGAAGAGGAGGCAGCTGGTTCAAGCTGGTTACGTGGTGGTTGAGCTTCCCCATTGGGAGTGGTTTCCGTTGCTTAAGAGAACTCGCTCCGAAAAGCTGGCTTACTTACATCAGAAACTGTACAGTGCGCTGGACTGAACATGCAAAAAGGCGAGAGAACCATGGGGTCCAATTTGTGATATTTCATAACTTCCTTCGATTCGCACGGAAACGGTTTGGGTCAAGTCGGCATGACATAATTACTGAATTATGTTGTAATAGTCAACAATACTGTTGTTGTAATAGTCCCTTTTAAAAAAAACCTAATGATTATTTGGCTACTCATCCACACATGTTTGTGGAACACTGCGCAAGGGGAGTTTCGTCCACAAAATTTACAGTGAATTGACTTTACCGTATGTCCTGTGAAACTCTGAGACATCTCAACAACATAAGGAGCTATATCAGATGTAAGGAATATTATTATTATTACTGAAGGAATCCCTATTTCTGCATCTACGATTCCTCTTTAAGTAAGAACTCGATATATACACCGAGCAGAATGCTGAGTACATTGAAAAGCTGGTAATAAAAGAGAATCATCCAGATGTTTTATTTGTATGTTGGTTTCATTTCAAAATTTGATCATAAAATGGTATTTTCGTTTGGTGTTAGAAATTATGCAACAATTGAAATTCGGATGAGTGCTCTTCAGGCAGAGGAGGTTGATTCCATTTCAATACAATTACATTCCCACAGTACTTTTCACGTCAGGAGGACATCTCAAAGTGCTTCACATTGCTGGCTGGAGCGGCCAAACTGGGGGTGGGTGGGAGCTGAATGAGGATGGGGAGGAGAAATATGAACGAAAGAATGGTCAAAGAGGTACATCTTAAGATGTAAGTGAGGGAGGGAGTGAATCGGAGGGACTCCGGGATGGAATTCCGCAGTGCTGGGGACCCTTAGTTTTTGCAAAGATTTTGTCATCTGAGAAAACTAGAACAATAAAAATGATGTCGGCAGAACTCTCTCTCAAACAGCAGCACTTTTGAAGCTGTGTTTGGTGTCCAAGCTCCAGGTGCGCATTATGTCTAGGAACAGGCGGAGGCCATTCAGTCTATCGATGGAGGATTGCTTTCCAACGGGAAATGATCTCTTCAAAAATAAATAAATAATAATTTGGTCACTGAATCAACAACTGTTTGTGGGACCTGCTGTGCGTAATTGCCTGCAGTATTTCACCCACAAAATTGTACAACCAATTCCCTTTATAGTATATTCTGTGAGGCACTTTGAGTCGTCTTAACAACATGATAAGGCTCTTTATCAAATACAAGGATTATTATCATAATTATTCAATCCCCCTCCAACAGTTTATTAAGCCATGGAGATCTTTTAATCCTTTCCCTCCCCCCCCCCCCCCATACATCTTAATATCAGGTCTCAGCTCCCACCCCCAGCTCGGCTGGCCAGCAGTAGACGACAACAACAACAACAACAACTTGGATTTATATAGCGCCCTCCACGCCGGATGGCGTCTCAGAGCGCTTCACAGTAACGGATCCCGGCGCCGAGCCAGGGGGAGGGGTGGGAAGGTGACCAAAGGCGCGGTCGAAAAGAAAGGTCTTCAGCAGAGACCTGAAAATAGGAAGGGAGGGAGCAAGACGAAGGGAGTGGGGAAGGGAGTTCCAGAGCCTCGGGGCATAGTGGCTGAAGGCACGGCCACCGAGGGTGGAGCGGGGGACGAAGAAATTCAGAGTAAATCAATAGTTATTATAACAATTGCAAATGTACATAAATTCTGATATGTAGAAAGAATGAAAAATAAATCTTTTGATTATAAGCTGTAGGAATGCCATGTTTTTTTTTCCTCTGGTTATAACTAGAGAGGATACAAAGACTGTCCCACCCTGCCCTGATTTTCTGTGTGTTTGTGTGTGTTTGGCTTTTGTAATGCCTTGGGACGTCCTCCCGACATGAAAGTTGCTATACAAATGTAATTTTGTTGTTGTTGTAACACATATCCTGTGCTCTTAGATTCATGTGATTTAGTGTGTTTTTTCCCCCTGCACACGGGACACTCCCTCTTGGTGGCATCATCCGCAGACATGGGGTCAACTTCCACATGTATGCGGATGACACCCAACTCTATCTTCTGCCTCCACTCTCAACTCCAGGACCACTGCTGCCCTGACAGACTGTCTGTCGGACATCAAGTCCTGGATGAGGGCAAATTTCCTACAGTTGAATGTGAATAAGACTGAGACCCTCCCGATTGGCTCACGCCAGCGCCTCAGCACCTCAGGCTCCGGCAGCATCAACCTCCATGGTTGCACACTACAGCTCACCAAACCAGTCAGGAACAGATAATCCAGATCTCTGCAGCCCGTGTCCTCTCCCGCACCAAACTCCGTGACCCCATCTCCCCCATTCTCACCCGACTCCATTGGTTCCCTATCCTTCAGAGGATCCAGTTCAAGATCCTGGTCCTCACTTACAAAGCCCTCCATGGCCTCGCCCCACCCTACCTCTGTGACCTCCTAACCCACTACCAACCCGCCCACTCCCTCCGCTCAGCCGGCTCTGGCCTGCTCCACTTCCCCCGACCCACCCGCCCCACCATTGGTGGGAGAGCCTTCAGCCACTCTGCCCCCAACCTCTGGAATTCCATCCCCCAGTCACTCCGCCTCGGCCCCTCCTTAGCCTCCTTCAAGTCCCGCCTCAAAATCCTCCTCTTCGACCATGCCATCGGCCACCCCCCTTCCCCTCCCCTCCCTTCTGCCCCCCTGACCACAGCTCGGGTCTGAAATGCTGTACACTATCCAGCGCCTTGGGACGTCCTCCAAAAGTAAAAGGCACTGTACAAATGTAATCTTGTTGTCGTTAACCAATTTTGCTCGCTCTCCATATCCTTTAATATTCCTCATCTTAAACTAATTCCCTTTTATAATAATTTTTGGATTTTTGGGGAGAAATTTCTTTTGGGCGTAGATTTACTGTTATGTAGCCTTTCAGAGAGTCCAGAATTTAGCATATTCTTACCAACAGCTCAATTTTGAAACTGTTTTTCCATACGTCCGTGTAAGCTTTTAGCAGTGGCTATGACAATCGCAGTATTTTGGGATCCAATACAGTCTTAGAGCCAGGCCTGCTAGAACTGGTCAGGAAGTATTTCTTCACACAAGAGGGTTGTGGAGATATGGAACGATCTGTCCCAGAAAGCTGTTATGATGGAATCATTAGGGGTATTAAAAAGAGATAGACAGAGACTTGGTATTAGAGCTTTGAGTGGATGGCGAGAGGTTCGTACTAAAAGATCTACCAAGATTTAATAAACTTGAAAGCTTAAGAGCTGAAGTCCTGATATTGGGGTGGTCTGACAAGTGCTGTGTGCTTACCAACAGTTATTATAATAATAATAGTCCTTGCATTTGATGTTGTGCCTTATTATGTCGCTGAGACGTCTCAAAGTGATTCACAGGATATATTGTAAATAATATTATCCCATGAATGACCCTATGTAAGGGTGTGGCTCAGATTTATAGAACCAAAGAAATACAATAATAATACTTACGTTGACGTAGCGCCATTCACGTCAAGAAGATGTCCCAAAGCACTTTACAAGATGCTTTGTAAAGTTTGTATTTTTTGTAAAGGTGAAAGCTAATATGGATTCTGCTTCAACCATGGTTCCAGGTATTTTCAGGTTGGGGTCTCCATGTCCTAAAAATCTGCTCCAAGACATTATCCTTCTTGAACAGTGCTGTATAAATACAAGTTGTTGTTTGTACAAACAAATTCTCACGTCGCCCTTTGTTCGTTTTTAATTACCAACAAAAATACAGTGAAGCTCGTTGAGGAATCCTGAGGTGAAAAGCGCTCTGGCTAGGATTATTTATATCTATGCCCTTTAATCACTGGCTCACTGACCAGTGGACTAAATTTCTCCCTGTTTACAATTCTCTTGTAATTCCAGTGTGGATGGTCTCTTGTTTTCCTGTAGGATCTAATGTCGCAGCTGGCCATTGACTCAAGTGGACGGAATGACCTTGAACCTTTGTCTGCCGCATTTCCGACCAAGGATACATTGCAATAAGGTAAGGCAGGTGCCAGTCCGTGCAGGTGAATATTGTGACTGAAGCTATAGTGAGATTCCAGTGCATTCGCTTCGCAAACCCAATGTCTGTCACATTTGCCTCACAGACGGCAAATTGAAAGCAATGGGAATTGTTGCACTGAAATAACCCGCAGATGATCTTTGACGATCTGTATCCCGTGCAGTCGCCCTACCTGTTCACTGCTTGGCACCAGCCTCATTCCATCGCACAGCAATTTCCCTCAAACAGTTGTGGTTTGAACGACCAAAATATATATATGTGTTTTGAGGGATTATTACCCCAGAAAGTGATCTGCCAATCAACTAACAATCAGGTTCCTAGGTAAACAAAGGGTTGTGGGGTAAGGAAACTTGTCTAAGGTTCCTGCCTGCCTGGGAATTGAACTTGGGTCCTTTCACTTGGCAGACGAGTACGCTAACCAATACACAATGGGAATGCTAGCAAATTTGCTTTTCTTTTTAATTAAAACCTGATCAATGTTACCAAAAAAGAGTTGTGTTTAAACAAAAATATATTTCTGCTCCAGGTCTGTGCTGACGGTTACGAAGTGAGCAACCTGATATCCGCAGACCCCCAGCAAAGAGCTCGTGGATTCCGCTCCGAATACTTCATCAAACCTCCTCTGGACATCACCGTTTCCTTCCCGTTTAGCAGCGACATTTGCCGGGTGGAGGTGGACGTGTCGGCTGGATCGCAGAGCTCGATCGCTTTGTCCATCTTCACCTGTAGCTCGTGTGGCTGGAGCGACGTGAAGGGGAACAAGGATGGTTCCTCACATCCGCCAGTGCCGGCGTTCTCCGATAAAGACACGTTCACGCTGGTTGGAAAGGTTGTCCTGAAAAACCACCGCAGAGTGCTGTTTCGACACAGAGCCTTTAAGCCAAGGGCTCCTTTCACCAAGGTGCAGCCTGTGGTTGCAGACGACAGTGTCCTGATCCAAGATCTGTGGAGCAAAGGGCCCTGGTCGCTGGGTGGCGTGAGGCACTTCAGAATCTGCATCGCCTTCGTGTCGGGCGGACACTTGCCTTGCCTAAAGAGGCTGAGCGTTTGGGGGCAGCCGGCCAGATCCTGCCCACTAGTGGTCATCGAAAGCCTCTTCCAAGTCCATCGTGTAAGGAGACTTCTACTTTTATTGCTTAATTAACGATGAAATAACAGGCGCACAATTTGGAGGTTCAACAATTGTTTGCTTCATTATAGTTCCACAGTCAACGATTATACAAAGAACAATAACCTGGGTCAATAGAAAATTGCACCTGCGATTTTTTTTTCCGCTAAAACAAATACCCTCCGATAAAGCAAACGCCCTCTGAGAAAATCTTAAAAAATGCACTGTGCTCGGCCTGGCCTCTGCACGCTGCTGCCGGCTGTTTGCTCAACACCTCTGTGGTTAGATTAGCAACAAAATGTGCCTCTCAAAAGTACCAATCAATCCCCCTCAATTTTCCACCATATTTGCCAAAACTCCCCATCACTTTCTGCAAAATTTTGTCAAATTTCCCTGCAATTTTTAGCAAATATTTCTGCAATTTTTCTTGATCCTGGCACTAACCCACTACCACTAGACACCATATTGGAAGCAACCAGGTTATCAGAGGATTAAGTATTAATCATTTACCTATCCCTGGGAGAGCAGTAGACAGCTGGGAGTCATCAGATCTGCATCTCATGGTTCTTGATTGAACTATCCATTTTTATACCTGACTGGGTTCTGTGTACTGTGTATTGGGTACCCAATTCACTTATAATACAATATATTCTGTGAAGCGCTTTGAGACGATAGCATAGCTAGGGAGAAACTATTTCCTCTGGTGGGAGAATCCAGAACAAGGGGCATCATCTTAAAATTAGAGCTCGACCATTTAGGAGTGAAATCAGGAAGCATTTTTTCACCCCCAAGCGTAATGGAAATCTGGAACTTTCTCTCCCAAAAGGCTGTGGTGCTGGATCCACAAAGGTGGATAGATATTTGTTAGGTCAGGTTATCAAGGGATATGGGGCAAAGGCGGGTAAATGGAGTTGAGGTACAGATCAGCCATGATCGAATAGAATGGCAGAACAGGCTTGAGGGGCCTCCTCCTATTCCTCTGTCTCAATGACATGATAAGGCACTATATCAAAAAATTCAAGGATTGTTATTACTATTATTATGTTAACTCTTTCCTTACTCTTTCCAGCGCTTGTGTCAGGAGACGGCTGACCGGGCCGAGTCAGTGTTCGGGGCTGAGGACACGTGTAGCACCGCGACCGGCAACGGCCTGGGACCGAGCACGAGTGCAGCTCCTGCTGTCACGGAGGACATCCCGGAGGAATTCCTGGATCCCATCACCTCCGACATCATGGCTCTCCCTGTGCTGCTTCCTTGCGGAAAAGCGGTTGATCAGAGCACGCTGGAGAAATACCTGCGGGGAGAGGCCACGTGGGGCCGGGGGCCGAATGACCCCTTCACCGGCGTTCCCTTCAGCCGTCACTCCAAGCCGGCCCCTCACCCCGTGCTCAAAGCCAGGCTGGACAGCTTCCTGCTGCGCACCGCTGTGCCGGGCCGCACTGTCGTGGGGAGAACTCGAGCGGGAATCATCCCTTCATCCTCGGTGAAGAGGGAACGTGAGCCAGTGGACGCCGCGGCCATGGTCCCCTCCTCCACCCCACAAACCATCAGCTTATCCGCCGGTGGAGATTCGGACACAGCCTGTGCCGCAAAGAGATTCAAGGCAGAAGTGAAACATTTACCAGGAGTTGGAGAAGAGCCAGGTACAGACTTTGGTGTCTTATTCAGGGTTTGTTTTCCTCTCCTGTTCTTCATTTCAGAGCCTTTTTAATACTATTAGTAATAACAATAATCCTTGCATTTGATATAGCGCCTGATTACGTCCCGACTCGACATTTCATATGCCCTCCTCACTGATGTCTCCAGCTCCACCATGCACAGGATCCAGCTGATCCAAAACTCAGCCACTTGCATACTTACCCGTACTAAACTCTGTTCTCCATCACACCAGTCCTCTCCATGCTCCATTATGGCATCTAGTGGTAGTGGGTTATTGCCAGGGGAGCCACAGTACAGTACAGAGACTGCGCTTGTGAAAGTCACAAATGACATCCTCCCTTGTCCTCCTGGACCTCTCCACGGCGTTCGATACAGTCGATCACGCCATCCTCCTCCACCGCCTTTCCTCCGTCATCCACCTCAGTGGGACTGCACTCGCCTGGTTCGAGTCCTACCTCACAAACCGCCAACAGTACATCTGCACAAACAGCTTTTCCTCCCGATCTCACCCGGTTACCTGTGGGGTACTCCAAGGATCCATCCTTGGCCCCCTCCTCTTTCTGATCTACATGCTCTCTCTTGGGGATGTCATCCACAGACATGGGGTACATTACCACATGTGTGCGGACGACACCCAATTCTATTTTTCCACCTCTCTTTGCGACCCCCAGTCCCCTGATGTTCTGTCAGTCTGCCTGTCAGACCTCAGGAGCTGGATGAGCGCAAATTTCCTTCAGCTGAACAATGACAAGACGGAAGCCATACTCTTCGGCTCTCGTCAACATCTAAAATCTCACGGCTCTCACCTCCTCCACCTACCCGACCTCCCCCTAAAACTCTCTGAACCCATACGCAACCTCGGCGTCAGGTTCAACCTCCAATTATCCTTCCTCCCCCACATCCGATCCCTCACCAGCACCGCCTTCTTCCACCTCCGACGCATCGCCCGTCTCCGCCAATACCTCTCTCCGAAAGTCGCTGAAACCCTGGTCTCATGCTTTTGTCACCTCTTGGCTCGACTACTCTAACGCCCACTTCGCCGGTCTCCCATTCACTACCATCCATAAAATCCAGATCATTCAAAACTCTGCCGCCTGCATTCTCACCCGCACGAAACTCTGCTCTCCGATTACCCCAGACCTTGCCACATTGCACTGGCTGTCTGTCCCAGAGAGGATCGACTTCAAGATCCTCACCCTTGTATTCAAATCCCTCCACTCCTCTGCACCCCCTACTTCTCTGACCTCTCTTCTCAAACCAGTACCTGTTGCCTTCATTCCTTTGGGTCTGGCCTCCTCCTTGTCCCCTGAGTCCTCCGCTCCACCCTCGGCGTCCATGCCTTCAGCCACTATGCCCCGAGGCTCTGGAATTCCCTTCCTCACTCCCTTCGCCTTGCTCCCTCTCTTCCTATTTTCAGCCTTTCTTTTCGACCGCGCCTTTGGTCACCTTCCTCTCCCTCCCCTTGGCTCGGCCCTGGGATCCGTTACTGTGAAGCGCTCTGAGACGCCATCCGACGTGGAGAGCGCTATATAAATCCAAGTTGTTGTTCCACTGGCTGTCTATTGCCGAACAGATCGATTTCAAGTTTTCAAATTTCTTCATGCCCTGGCACCTCTGTACCTCTCTGACCTGCTTATTTCTTAACCCACTACCCGTTATCTCCGATCAACTGGCTCCAGCCTTCTGCTTATCCCTTCGTGCCCTCATTTCCACCATCGGCAGCCGCGCTTTCAGCCCCTAGGTCCCGAAACTCTGTAACACTCTTCCTCTAACCCTCTGCCTTGCCCCTTCCCTACCCGTCTTCAGATTGCGCCTGAAGACCTTCCCATTCGACTGTGCCTACGGTCACCTCCCCCACCCCCTGGCTCAGGGTCATGCTCCATGACTGTCAAGTTCTCTGGGACACTGCCCTGCGTGAGGGGTGCTTTTTAAACGCAAGTTGTTGTTGTCATTGAGACGTCTCAAAGTACTTCACAGAATATATTGTAAAGTGAATTGACTGTATTTTGTGAGTGAAATATGGCAGCCAATTGCACACAGCAGTGTCCCACAAACAGTCGTGGATTGAGTGACCAAATGGATGTATGGAATTCGCAGTTTGGTTTGGATACTCTTGAGCATGGCAATGGGTTTCTGCATGTATCAGAGATGCAGCTAACCAAAAAAAATTACAATTTGCCAGTACACAGCCATGACAGCCAATGCGTTTTCATTTACTAAAAATCTTCTGATGGTTAATTTTGCAATTTTTAAAAAATTAAGTACAGCTTTCTAACAGTAATTATGATAATATCGCCCTTCTCTTTTCGAATAGCTCCATGAGATCTGTAACACCCACCGGACCTCGGTTTAATGTCTCATCCAAAGGATGGGAAGTACACGACACATGTCACTGTGACTCAACGGAACCTGCTTCCTCTCTCTCCCCAAACGTCAAATGAGTTGGACTGCTTTTCTTTTTGTTTTGGTCAGCCGGGTGTCTGACGCATGCAGAAATCCATCACCACGCTTCAGAGTATCTGAACCAAACTGAGAATTCCATGGCATCCCAACTACACACGGAAATCCCAGAGATAGATTGTTGGAATGGAATGTGCGCTCTCTCCCTGGAGGGACACATCTCGCTTACCTAATTCCAGAAAGTATTAGGCACGGGGTGGTAAGACCTAAGGCTTAGGGATCCGAGAGTCTGCGTTGGGGTAACTGCTGGAGTCTAACCAGTTAAAATCCAAACTGCTGGAGTCTAACCAGTTAAAATCCAAGCTTTGCCGCTGCTTGTCCAGCTAGGACCACCCTACCTGTTAGGGCTTTGGCTTACAGAGTTAACAGGGGCTGAGTGGGAGGATTCTCTGTCCCCAGTGACTAGTGTTTTTCCTGAGAGTGGGCGTCACAGAAGTACAGATTTCCGAATAAGGAAATCTGTTGGGAAGTAATGACCACTTTGTCTTTCCATGCAATTAAATTATTTGTGTGTGTGTGTCTGTCTGTCTGTCTGTGTTAGGTGCCATCTCCCATGAGCAGCGGTTATCACAGAGTCTGGACAGTGCTTTGGCTTCCGCCCTCAGTACCTTCCCATCATTCACGGACAGACAAAGGCCCCCCATAGCTGGCAGCAGCAACACCGGCTGTGCGGCAGGTACTGGAATCTTGGGCCTCCGGGGCCCGTTCTGGAATTGCCTTGTTCTGTTCTTAACAAAAAATAATAATAAAGATGTTGTTCTCACCGTTCTTCCACAGAGCTTGACTCAAGCAGTTCTGATGACGTTTGCATAGCTTGCTGTAGGGCGTTCTCTGCCTACTGCAGTTACCTGGTGATCTACAGACTCCCATGTGGGCACCTGATCTGCAGGCCCTGTTTGTCAGAGAGGCAGAAGACAGCAGCGCTCTCCTGTCTGAAGTGTAATCAGCCGGTCAACACAAGCGACGTGACCCGAGTTCACCTATAGGTTCTGTGGTACGTCCGAAATAATAATAATAATATATTATGTATTTATTAGTAATATTATTGTTGTAAATAATAATAATGAAGAAGAAAACATTGGTCACTCAATCCATCACTGTTTGTGGGACACTGCTGTGCGCAATTGGCTGCCGCGTTTTGCCCACAAATATATAGTCAATGCACTTTATGGTATATTCTGTGAAATGGTTGGAGACGTCTCAATGACATGATAAGACACTATGTCAAATTCAAGGATTATTATTATAGAATGTAATTTGGATAATTTCTCACGAGAGGCGAGAAGGGGCAACCTAACTCACTGCATTAATAGGAATAATACCTGCATTTGATATAGCGCCTTATCACGTCTTCGAGACGTCTCAAAGCACTTCACAGAGTATACTGTAATGTGAATTGACTGTAAATTTTATGGGCCAAATGCGGCAGCCAAACAGTCGTGGATTGAGTGACCAAATTATTATTTTTTTTGAAGGGATTATTACTCCTGGAAAAATGATCCGTCAATCGGCTAACAACCAGGCTCCTACTTACTGCTGGGTTAACAGAGACGTGTGGAGTAAGGAAATTTACCTAAGGCTTCACCTTGCCTGGGAATCAAACCCAGTTCCTCTCGCTTGCAAGGCGAGTGCACTAACCACGAAGCTACAGGACTCCACAACCTGTTTCAGGCACTTAAACACATTTTGCCAATATCTTAACCATTTAGCAAAGTGACCTCCAATCTTTGTACATCTTCCAGTTGCTCTTGTTAATATGGTGCCCCCTGGGAAATCTCCTCGGTGCATATTATTTACATGCACCTTCAACGTTCCCCACAATACCTTACAGGTCAGAATATTTAAACAGTCATATTTAGTTTGCTAATATTTCTTCAAAGGTGCAGAAATGCGGTGCATTGGTTAGAAATCTAGTTATAGAATCATAGAATCGTACAGCACAAAAAAGAGTTTGTGCCGGCTCTTTGAAAAGAGCAATGAAATGTCAATCCCACTCCCCAGCTCTTTCCCCATAACCCTGCAAACCCGTCCTCCTCAAATACCCGTCCACCGCGTTTTTAAAAGTAGTTATCGAATCAGCCTCGACCACCCTTTCAGACAATGCGTTCCAGATTCGAACAACTCGCTGCGTGAAAAAATTTCTTCTCATCTCCCCTCTACTTCTTTTAGATACTGTTTACTGTTCACTGTTTACCACCCGACCTAACTTTGTGTCGTCTGCAAATTTGGAAATGGTACTTGCTATACCCAAGTCCAGATCATTTATGTATATTAAGAAGAGCAGTGGTCCTAATACCGATCCCTGGGGGACGCCACTGTACACTTCCCTCCAGTCAGAAAAGCAGCCGTTCACCACAACTCTGCTTTCTGTCTCCCAGTCAGTTCTGGGTCCATGCTGCCACTGTCCCTTTTATACCATGGACTTCTATCTTTCTTACAAGTCTTTCATGTGGCACTTTGTCAAATGCCTTTTGAAATTCCATATAAACTACATCAACTGCACTACCTTTATCCACCCTCTCCATTACCTCATCGAAAAATTCAAAAAATTCTATTCACGTTATGTTTATTAACGTGGTGGTAAATTGTGAAATGCGAAACTTGCTGGCTATGGGCTGGTAGTGTCACTATGCTCTGGTTTCTCTTCAGATCGTAAAAATCTTTCACCTTTTACGAAAGATTTCCGTGGAGGGGAGCAGGTCACAGGGTCACGAGTTTTAAACCAATTATGGACTATCATATACATCACTTTCTCCGATCCTACCCTTCCAGCTCTGGTTCAGATCCCTGACAGTCCAGCATCTTCAGACATACAAATGTCATTTTATTGTTGTTCCTGTTTTGATTTACCCTCCTTCAGCCCAGGAACCAGATTATATGTTCCTGTCACTGCTTGTTTTGGTCATTTTTTTTGGTGAGTGAGGTTAGACCTGCTCACCCCCGTTAACCGAATTAGGCCGAATATGAATGAGGGTTGTCTCCGCAGACAACCCCTAACTCTCCCCACTCACACCCCAAACTCTTCTAGACCCCAAAAAGCTAAATACTTCAGATGCTGGAAATCTGAAATAAAAACAGATGGTTGCCTTTCTAATGAAAGGTCATAGACCTGAAACGTTAACTCATTTTCCTCTCTCCATAGATGCTGCCTGACCTGCTGCGTGTTCTCTTCTGGACCCCAAATTGTCAAAGGATAATGAGGAACTGAAACCTGTTTTTACGACCGACCGAGTAAATCAGATGACTGGATTGTCTCTCCGATGTGCAAGCCCAGCCTGACCTGAGCTAGTGACCAAGTTGCTCAAGTGAGCTCTACATCACAGTATCTCTGCTTCCTCTTTGTGAGGGCAGATCACACTCCTCAGATCAGAAGTGCTGCAATACCGATCCCAACCAACAGAGGGTTGAAGGAGAAGCTGTTGCCAGGAGCTCAATCCTTATAATCCTTGACTTTACGGGTGAGATTTATTGTGCTAGCCCCTCACAGACAAACCTCAGCAGGAGAACTTTTCTGGCAGGTTCTCAGAGACACTATCCTGTGTGAAAGCCCAAGTAGTGGTTGTTTTTTCAAAAATCAAAATGCGTCTCCAATTTCCAAAACCCGTTGAACAGAGCAATACATTGTGTTATCTGCTGTAGGCTATCAGCTTCACGCAGAAGGCCATAGATACAAAATTAGCCAGTATGTTTAAAGTGGCAAAAGACAGACTAATAGAGACCTATGTGAGTGTGCATACGCACACACGCACCACACCCAGGGTAAGGGCATAAAGGAACAAACGGATTGAAAGATCTGCCATGATCTAATGTAATGGCACAGCCATCTGCATGGGTTGAATGGCCTCGCATGTTCCTTTGTTACTGTCTGAACATCTATATTAATGTTCCAAGTTCATCACGAACTCCCCAGTACCTTATCCTTCACCTCAGTAAATGAATGGTTCATCCAAGTGCCTGTCCACAGCTGGGGGAGTCCAGGACCTCTGATGGCTGTGCTATTGTCTGCACTATTTGCCAATTAGGAATCACTGTGAGTTCAAGCTGTGACTGGAGAGCTATGAGTGAAGCTTCCCCAATGGCCTAGTGAGTGTAGGCATCACCCGGATGCAGGTTTGAATCCCGGTCTGTGATGATTTGAGCCGATACAAACCCAGGTCCCATTTGATGCACTGCAATTAGGCTCAGTATCCCCCGGACTAGAGAGGAAATACCAACCAAGATTCCTGCTTCTAATCAGTGCAGAGACTCCTGCCGAGAAGTGTCAGATACCCGAGGACAGTGAAAGGTTTCTGCGTGTATCAAATACTGGCTGGCCAAATCCAAAACAAAATTGTTTAATGTAAAGGAATATAAGGCGGTACCCTTTTTTAAGATATGTTCAATAAATGTTCGTTTACAGTGTTGGCTGCTCTGTTGGGAGGCGAAAGAACAATAATGTTATTTGCTCTTTTGGCCTTTTAATTCCAGCATATAAATTAGTGGACATATCGCTGTCAGTCTTCCTTTACAGTGGGATCCTTCTGTACAGTTTCTATTTGTGTATCAGCCTGGCACAGTTGGTTGCACTCTGGCTTCATGAATCAAAAGATCGTGGGTTCAAGTCCCACAGCTGGACCTGGAACTAAATATAGTCCATTGTCTATGTAAGGATTATTAATAGCAATAATTAATAATAAATGTCACATAATAAAAGCTTCTGTCTTTTCATTTGGTTGTTAATATTGAATTGTCAATTGCGAAATAAAACCCAGGGCATTGACTTGTGATGAGGTGAGATGTGTTGTTATTGAGTCAGGTGTGATTTGCTTTCGCTATTTTTGTCTATAATAATAATAGTTTTTTTGCCACCATTGTGGCTGCAATGCAAGGGCTGCTTTCCATTGGTAAATTACGGAGGAGTTTGTTATGACATGTTGGGTTGGGATAAAAGAAAACTAGACTTGCTTTTAAAGAGAAGGCTACTTTTGTTTGGTGGAAAAGGGCATCTGAGAAAAGGGCATTTTTATTCATTAATGGTTGTGTTTCCAATCAAGCTCGCTATCACATTGCCACTTTAACCTGCAGCTATTTATTGCATCACCAAACTGGTAGCCTTGTCACATTCCCAGATGCTTTTACACTGACTGTGGTTTGTATGTCCTCAGTCTTCCTGCACTTGCCCAATCATTAGGGTTGGGAAAGAGCTCATCGGGAGAAATAGTAAAAGACGTCTTGGGATGTAAAGTGCATCTTCTGCAGAGAATCCCACTCACTCGTGTCAAACAGACAAGCAAGTGCTTGGCTACAACCTGAGATCTCTGGAGCACAGCAGTCAGGAACCAGGTGATGCTATGGGATCTTTTTTGATCAGCTGCGTGTCTGACACACACGGAAACCCATCACCGTGCTTTAGAGTATCCAAGCCAGATGGAGTTCCACAACCATACGCCAACTGCACATGAAAATTTCCATTTCTAAAATGGAATGCACTCTATCTCCCCAGAGGGACACATCCTGCTTACCTAATCCTAAAATGTATTAGGTGTAGGTTGGCAAGAACTAAGGCTTGTGGCCCCCAGAGTGTGCGTTGCTGGAACGCACTGCTGGAGTCTAAGCAGCTAAAACAGATAGTTTGCTATTGAGAGCATTGTCTGGCAAGCTTCCTGCCTCTTGTCCAGCTAGGACCACTCTACATAGAGCTTTGGCTTGCAGGGTTAATGGGAGCTGAGTGGGAAGAGTCTTTGCCCTTCCAAGTCCTTCCGATGTGCCAAGCTAGCTGTGCTGTCATCCATAGTGCCCTGCAATACTACGGACTTGCCTGGCTCAGGAACCGGACTACTGAGACCGCTACAGAGGCTCAATTCTGACACTCCGTTGTAGCCAGTTCAGCTTCAAGGAGCTGGTAAATTTAAATTAAATTTAATTTTGGTTGATTAATAACATTTCAAACCCTCACCAACGTGGTTTGAAATGTTTGACCTTTTGTCGGTTTGAAATAGGAGAACTGTGTCTCTTATTTCCCTCGCTATCTCCCTGGCTAGTTTACAATCCACGTTCTTTTACATCTCCCTCTCTGTAAAAGAAATAAACTTGGATTCTTTGTTCACCACCACCCCATTTCTGAGCTTGAGATCATGTCTCCTTATTCTAGACATTCTCTTACATGAAGGGCACTATATAAATAGAGGTTGTTGCCCCAGCTCGGGTCCAAATCCTTGACTGTGCAGCGCCTTGGGATGTCCGCCTGATGTGAAAGGCGCTCTACAAGTGTAGTTTGTTGTTGTAGATGCAGAAATGTTGTTTGGTGGCTAGGAATTCTCTCTTCAATAATGTTACCAGTAGAATACAATAAGTAATAATAATCATTGCATTTGATACAGGACCTTATCACAAAGGCTTCACAGAATATACTGTGTATTTTGTGGGTGAAATGCGGCAGCAAGTTGTGCACAGCAATGTTACACAAACAGCCATGGAGTGAGTGACTAATTTTATTTGGGGGATTGTTGGCCAGGACACTGGAAGAAAATCCCTTCTCTTTTCAAATAATAGTGGGATCTTCAACATCCATCAGAACAGGTAGACGGGATCTTGGTTTAACGTCTCATCTGAAGAAATACAGTAAACTCCTAATAACTCATCGATTCAAGGGAAAAAGGCTTAGCAATAAGTTACCAGGAGCAGCAATTTAGGCACATGTTTAAATACATAAAAAATTCGACGGGGACAAGTTAAGCAAGGTCAAGTTATCAGGAGTTTAATGTTTGATTTTCTTTGTTACCGAATATGTTAGTGGAATCCTCGAGAACTGAACTTGAAAGTGACTTATGTGCGGCATGAAGTCTGTGGGGTTGGTTGGGGGGAGAGGCGTGGAATTAGATTAATCATGAAAATGTTCACTGGATGCTAAATGAACGTTACCTTATTATTCATGAAATCTAAGGTAATCCATTAAGTCCCCAGATAGGGAGCCTTCTATGAAACAGTGTGCTCCTAAACAGGGTCTGGGATGCATTGTGAGCATCCACCTCTTGATCCTCGTAATTTGCTGGAGTGATTCTGGGTACAGCAACGCTGTGGGTGGGTTGATCAACAATTCACGCTGGGTCTAAGTGAGCTCACCAAAAAAACAGCCCTGACTTGAGCTTAATTTGCACTTGTTGCATTCAAACCGCTAATTAACAGTTTAACTGTTGATCAGATAATTGAGATGCATATTGCTTCGAAGCCATTTAAAATTCATTCAGACTGTTTGGAATACAGCAGTGTTTTGGAGGCTGATTTTTCGTTCGGAGGGCAGTAATTCCACATATTGAATGCAAAACATGGGCTGACATTTGTCAAGAAGCTCTCAGCAAATGTCTGCCTGCGTCCTAATTATCCTTCTTAGAATTCACTGTTGCCCTGATACTGTTTAGTTTGGTGCAGCATCGTACACGTGCATTTTGCAAAGTGATCAGGTGACAAATCTTTACTCCCTTTAAATTTATCTGGGACAAAGATCATGCACATTCTGAGAATTTAAGTTCTGAGAACTATCCTCCCACCCTCATACTCACCCGAATAAACTTTGTATCCCTATCAAATCAGTTCTTGCCAGGCTTCACTGACTCTCTATTACCAAATGGATCGATTTCAAGATCCTCACACCCATCTTGAAATCCTTCCTGTCCTGCCAACTCCTTACCTCTCCGAGCTACTTACTCCCCAGTCCATCTCCCGCTGCCTCTGCTCAACTAGCTCCGCTCAACAACTCCTGCATGTCCCTCATGTGCTCCGTTCCATCATTGGTGGCCGTGCTTTCAGCAACTACACCCCGAAACTCTGGAACACGCTTCCTCTCTCCCTCCGCTTTACTCCCTCCTCCCCCATCTCCAGGTCACGCCTGAAGACCTACCTCCTCAACCGTGTTTACAGTCACCTCCCTCTTCCCCTGGCTTGGCGGCATGCTCCACAACTTTCAACAACAGCAAATTACACTTGTGCCCTTCACATCGGAAAGACGTCTCAGGGCCCTTGACATCAGGGTTTTTTTTTGGTTGAAGAGAAAGGTCTTTAGATGGATTTTGAAGGAGGCAAGAGAGAGGTTGAGGTGGAGGGATTGTGGGATACAGTTCCAGAGTGTGGGGGTAGAGATGCTGAATGCTCGACCGCCAATGGTGAGGCAGGAAGTGTGGGGGACAACAGGCCAGTCTCTGCCGAGCAGAGGGAGTGAGGCTGATATGGGGTTATGAGGTCGGAGAGGTAGGGGGGAGCAAGACCATGGAAGGCTTTGAAGGCGAGCGCTGTGGGCATCTGCCCTGTGTGAGGGGTACTAAATAAACTCAAGTTGTTATTAAGTGCGGCCACGAGCTGTGCAGTTTTAAACTGGTGGGTTTGTTATATTCATTGAGGTGGAGGGAAGGGGTGAACATTAATAATGATTGAGGTGCATGTGGAGATTATTTCCTCACACAGATATTAATATAATAATATTAATCTTTGAATTTGATGTACCACCTTTCACGTCGCGAAGACATCCCAAAGAACTTCACAGAATTTAAAATGAGGTGATTGGTTATTTGTAGATAAAGGCAGCAGCCAATTTGCAGGTAGCAATGTCCCACAAACAGCCATGAAGTGAGTGACCACTGTTATGTGGGAGATTGTTGGCCAGGAAGCCTGAAGAAACTCCTTTGTGTTTTTGAATAGTGCCTCGGGATTTTTAAATGTCCACCTATCCGCGTCTCACAGCGTTTGCTACATTGCTCTGTGAAAAGTTTATGATGTGTCCACATTAGAGACATGAGGTCCCATTGTTGGTGTAAGGCTTTTTATTTCAAAAAGTGAGCGCATGGCAACAGAACTGGCTGAGTTCGGTAGTACTCTTGCCTCTGAGTCAAACCCCACTTTGTACGCTTGAGCTCTTAGTTCAGGCCAACACTCCAAAGTGCTGGGGGGAGCACTGCATTGTCAGAAGTGCCATACTTCAGAGACATTTAAACCAAAGTCCTATCTTTGGTCACTCAATCCACAACTGTTTGTGGACACTGCTATGCACAATTGGCTGCTATGATTCGCTCACAAAATATACAACCAATTCACTTTACAATCTATTCTGTGAAATGCTTTGAGACGTCGCAACAGTATGATAAGGCGCTATATCAAATGTAACGATCATTACTAATGCGCAAAACCAGCCTGAGATTACGGGTCTTTCAGCCATGAAAAATGAATCCATTGACCGTAATGTACATCTTGGTATTGCTCATGAATTCTCTCTCTCTATCTCTCTCTCTCGTTCCATTCATTTCTTGCAGATACATCGCAGAGCTTCAAAGCTCATGATTTGGTTTCAACAACAAAACCTTTATTTACATTCACGGGGGGTAAATTTTTGGAGCAGATTATTATAGTAATAATAATAAACCTTACATTTGATGTAGCACCTTATCAGGTTGTTGAGACGTCTCAAAGTGCTTCACAGAATATTTTGCAAAGTGAATTGACTGTTTTTCGTGGTTCAAAAGGTGGCAGCCAATTGAGCACAGCAGTGTCCCACAAACAGTCATGGATTGAGTGACCAAATTTTTTTTATGAAAGCAGCGATGCTTGATTTCACTTGTTATTCGCACATATTGTTGTGTCCCAAGTGGGATATATGTGAAATTCATTAAGGTACTGCTGGATAGTCAGGAGCAAAATCACAGACTGGATTTCATGCTGGAGATTGTTCTTTTCACAGAAACAATGTCATCAGTGTACTATTCAAAACTTTAAGGTTTAATTTGAAATCCCACTTGAGCTG